TGACTTAACCCCAGCGCCCAGTAACCCTAGAAAACCAAATATCACCAAATATGACCTAATATAACTCAAGATAAACCTGTATCAGGTAATCCTTCCACTTCCTTCGATTCAGGTGGCCGGCAGCCGGTCGGCCGTGGAGTCCTTCGTTGAGAAAGCTCCTGGCACGGGCGCATTGTGTTCCGGCCGCGATTTTGGGCTTCAAGATATTTAAAGTGGTCACCCTAATCTTACCCCAGTAGTTTCAATTTGGTTTTCCATGTGATTTTCCATTTGATAGTCATTTAGCCCTATAGAAGGCCATTGGATTTATTGGGTCTAGGACCTGGGAGATCCTAGGAGTGTAGGGCTTGGGCCAGGATTGAGGTTGAAGCGAACCCGTGCCTGGGACTGAGGGTCTTCAAAATGTTTACCAAGGGCCCCACCCTTTCAGAGGATTTACCTGGGATTGTCTCAAATTTTTTGGAGCTTCGAACATCCTATCATACGCATGGCTCTGGGCAAGGCAGTGTACGATGCTCAAGCAGTCCGGCGCCTTCCACACCCCAGAGATGTTGGATGTGCAAAGCTCAGCCCAGCATGCGCAAAGGAAGACTGGTCCTTTTTTTAATACATACCATGATACAGCATAACTATTCGTGGAGGATGTGTGGCAGTCATATGGGTAAGCATCCACTGCAGTTACATATTTGTAGCATTACAGCAGAGCCATCATCAAGAACAGCCCCATCCAAGCTCTGCGTGCGACGACCCCAGTTCCCATTTGAGCGGGAGGCACCTGCCGGTGCGCGAGCAATTGATGGCAGTCCTGCTACGCTGTGCGCGATATCTTTATCCACCCCGTTGGCTTGTCCTTGACCCTGTCTGGCACAAAGCGACACAAAGGTTCGGAACATCGTGGTAAAAGAGCTAGAGGTGGGAGTGCTGATGCACTAAGCGCAGTGGAGCATGTGGTGGCGTTTCGTTTTGGCTGTTGCAGAGTTCGGGCTGCAGAGGCTAGCTTGCAACGAATGTCATCAGTACATTCTCAGTTAATTCGGTTGTCCACCGAGCTTGCCTGCAATGCGCTGTGTAGCTTTGCGTGCTACGTATCAGCTCTGACGTGCAAGGCGAGTCACTACTTTACATACGGTCCATTTTCGAGAACCTTGCGCTTTGAGCCCATGAACCCGTAAATCCCTTGAGGGTCAAGCCTCCCGCTATTTCTGATTTGAGGTCTCAATGCTTCCGCATCCCGAGCCCTTAAAAAAGTGTCTCCCCAAACCATGCATATGCAACAACGACTCCTCTGGCCACAGGCAGCCAAGGCGAGCATGAAGCCTCCCAGGTGCACTGCTGGAGTCTCAATTAGCGATAGGTTAATTTTGAAGTCATAAAGGCTCGGGTAGGAGAGACTACACTCGGATGTCCTAACCTTTCGGGTCCAAGTAAGTTTGAAAAAGATATACAGCGATGGTCCAGCCCAGCCCAAATTACAGATAAGCGGTCTTGCGCTTGCAGATAGCGGAGATAGGCTTATTCCTGGTGCTGCGCATATCAGCATCTGAAGGAAGGCGTCTGTTGACCAGAACACTGATTTCTTTGACTGCGCTTTTCATCAGTGGTCAACCTGTTTGATGCAACACATCTGCAACATTCTTCATGACTTCGAACTGCCAATCCAGAGTTGCTACGACCAGCTTCAGACAGCCAGCAGGCTTGCAGATCATACTGGCCTTTTTTAAGATACACCTGAAATGCACCACTTACCCTTCGAGCCCAGGTCTACGCCAATGCAACGGCAAAGGCGATTGGCCCCGACACTCCTGTCCAGGAGCGCTCCAAGCAAACTGGATGGGCTTCCGAGTTCTGTCCCAGCGTGCAGGGCAAACCGTGAGCCTGCTACATGGTAAGCTTGCAGACGGGCGCAACATGGACACGCACGTGTTATAGTTTTGTTGCTCCAGTGAACAATGATTACTTGTTGCTCTTAGTTGGTGATCTGAGGTCCCAAAATGCATCCTTAGTTGCTGCCCCTGCTCTGGAATAGACCCTAATTTTAGGATTTGGTTTTGTCTAACTTGCCGGCAGCACTGAAATCCGGAGCTCCCATGCGGACAGGAGATCGTGAAGCTGCTAGCGGATCAGATGGTCTCGCCGGTGCTCTGGGAACAGCGCCTTGCAGTCAAGAATAAGCTTCTGAAAAGAGGAGTAACCTGCAGTCTCTTAGGAAGATTGGCTTGATGCCCGGATTTCAGAACCCAGAATCATATTCAAGGATCTGTAGAGTGTGACAAGTCAGTGGTGGCCAGTTAGTCAGCCTCTTGTGGCAAGCGCCCAGCCGAAACCGTCGGCTCTTCATGCCGAGGCCTCAACCCTTACGTAACTACCCTGCGCTCTACATATTGCGTTCAACATGCAATTCATTGACCGAACAACTTATCTCTATGCTGGAAACCTTACAGATCAGTCAGTATTCCAAGCTGCCTTAGGTCCATGCAACAAGCAATCCGGGATGGCTGCACCGAGCACGGGGCCGAGACTGATGCACGCTCAGCAGGATATAGGGGGCTGAAACCTTGGGGAACTCAAGGCTCAAGATTTTCGGGAGTCATATTTCTCAAACATCCAGCATGCAGAATTGCAAGACCTCATTGAGAAGGCAGAGCTCACAGAGGCACAGCTGAGTATGTTTGACTCTCGACTCTCTACCCTCAAGGCAACGCTTCGATTCTCAGTGTTGACACCATTGGGTCCATGCTGTTGACCTTTGGCTGACTCGCCTTCCCACTGTTTCGATGGGTTGTTTACGCCTTGGGCCAACGGTCCGGGCCCACCAAGCCACCAAGGTCGGGGCCTTTTGAAGGATAGCCCTGGCAACTGAGGTTCTATGAGCTTGGACCAGGCTCTCAGCTGAAGGGTATTCTGAAGCGCATCGATGGCAAGATTGCCGACAAGATGTGCAACCTTTCCGTGTAGGAACCAGCCTAGACCTCTCATTTCATGTATGTTACTTATGGTCCCATGTGCCTTGGAATGCTGTTGTGTTGCACACCTTGGGTTTGATAAGAAGCCGGGCACACGTACTATTCGGCCGCAGGCCTGAGACTCTGATGAGAGAGTCATACATCCACCAACGCAGGAACCTTCAAGGGCATCAACACATTCTAGGCTTTTGTTGCAAGCACTTCAATATTTGCTATGTGAGTCTAGACCCTAGTAGTACGGTAGTTCCATGTAGTGATCGCTCAGCTTCTGCGCCGCATCACGCCCCAGCGCTGAAAAAAAGCCAGCTGATTTCTTTGCATTTGCCCAAATATTTGCTCTACGCAGGCTTGACAGGTCCAATCTCTGCCAAGATGTAGATATCGGTGTTTCTCAAATTGCCTCTGTGTAATGCTTGAGGGGGACAGGGGGACCCCCATGATCTCCTCACACTCCCCTGTTTTCAGGATCTCACCTCAATGTCCCTTTCTAGTTATTTACTTCGTTCAAATCAAATCATATACCCATCACGAGGACGACAGGAGATTAGACCCCAGTGGTGGGGAGGCAGCAGGTAGCAAGCGGTGCTAGGAATGGATTTTGTCCAATTTCTGCCTTGTCTGCGTGTCCTTCCAGCAAGAAGAAGGATTGTCTCATTATCCTGGATGTGCGCATTCCTCTTTTTCGCCAGCATGCAAGCCTCATCTAGGCACGGAATCCGTGGACGGGTCTAAGCAG